TCCTGCAAAAATGCTATCCCCTATTCCCAATTCCTTCGCCTCCGCCGCATCTGCTCCCAGGATGAGGCATTCCACTCCCGTACATCTCAGTTGTCCTCGTTTTTCAAGGACCGTAACTTCCCCTCCTCGGTGGTCGAGAACGCCCTCAACCGTGTCTCCCACATCTCCCGCACCTCATCCCTCACACCCCGTCCACGCAATAAAAACCAAAAAAGAATCCCCCTCGTCCTCACGTACCACCCCACCAACCTCCGGATCCAACGCATCATCCTCCGACACTTCCGCCATCTGCAAACCGACCCCACCACCAAAGACATCTTTCCCTCCCCACCCTTATCTGCTTTCCGGAGGGACAACTCTCTCCGTGACTCCCTTGTCCGCTCCACACTCCCCTCCAGCTCCACCACACCCGGCACTTTTCCCTGCAACCGCAGGAAGTGCTACACCTGCCCCCATACCTCCTCCCTCACCCCCATCCCAGGCCCCAAGAAGACTTTCCACATCAAGCAGATGTTCACCTGCACATCTGCCAATGTGGTATACTGCATCCGCTGTACCCGGTGTGGCTTCCTCTACATCGGGGAAACCAAGCGGAGACTCGGGGACCGCTTTGCAGAACACCTACGCTCGGTTCGCAACAAACAACTGCACCTCCCAGTCGCGAACCATTTCAACTCCCCCTCCCATTCCTCAGATGACATGTCCATCCTGGGCCTCCTGCAGTGCCACAACGATGCCACCCGAAGGTTGCAGGAACAGCAACTCATATTCCGCTTGGGAACCCTGCAGCCCAATGGTATCAATGTGGATTTCACAAGTTTCAAAATCTCCCCTTCCCCCACCGCATCCCAAAACCAGTCCAGCTCGTCCCTGCCTCCCTAACCTGTTCTTCCTCCCACCTATCCCCTCCTCCCACCTCAAGCCGCACCTCCATCTCCTACCGACCAACCTCATCCCGCCCCCTTGACCTGTCCATCCTCCCTGGACTGACCTATCCCCTTCCTAACTCCCTACCTACACTCATCTTTACTGGCTCCATCCCCACCTCTTCGACCTGTTTGTTTCCTCTCCACCTATCCTCTCCTCTATCCCTCTTCTATCCGCCTCCCACTCTCTCCCTATTTATTTCAGAACCCCCTTCCCCTCCCCCTTTTCTGATGAAGGGTCTAGGCCCGAAACGTCAGCCTCTCTGCTCCTATGATGCTGCTTGGCCTGCTGTGTTCATCCAGCCCTGCACCTTGTTGTCTTGGATTCAAGAGTAAGGAGGTTATGCTTATACAGGCAACAATGAGACCGCATCCGGAGTACTGTGTACAGTACTGGTCAACATACTTACACAGAAGGGCACTAATTTGCCGGACACAGTTCAGAGGAGGTTTACTAGACTACCAGTTCAGAGGAAGGGTCACTGGACCCGAAACGTTAACTCTGCTTTCTCCTTCACATATGCTGCCGAGTTTTTCCAGCAACTTTGTTTTTGTTCCTGATCTACAGCATCTGCAGTTTTTTCGGTTTTTACTTGACTGAAACCCAGAATGAGCAGACTGCCTTTGGGGAAAGGCTAAACAGGGTAGGAATGTATCCTCTGGAGTTTAGAAGAATTGGAAGTGACTTAATTGAAACAACTAAGATACTGAGGAGATTTGACCTGGGTCACCCATTTAAGACAGATGAGGAAAATAATTTTCTGAGGGTTGAGTCTGTTTGGAATCTCCTTCTTCGAAAAGCATTGGATGCAGAATCTTTAAACATTTTTTTAAAAACAGAGGTAGACATATTTTTGATTACCAAGGGGATAAAAGATTATTGGGAGGGGTATGCAGGAAGGCCAAGATGAGCTTAAAATGAGATCAGCTGTGATCTTATTCAATGGCGGAGCAGGCTTGAAGGGCCAAGTGGCTTCCTCTTGTCCCTTGTTTGTACACCATTTTTAACCCTTCTCTCAACCTGCCCAGTCACCTCCAATGGTTTATGCACATACAGACCCAAGTCCATCAGACCATAAGACATAGGAGCAGAAATTAGGCCATTCGGTCCATTGAGTCTGCGCTACCATTCAATCATGGCTGATAAGTCGGCTGGTAAGTCCCATGACTTCTGCATGCACTTCAGAATTTTCTTCCATACATAATAGCATCTCAGTTTTTCTGACCAAAATGAATCATTTCACAACTCTCAGTTACGGAGAAGGAAAGCTGGATAAACACCAGAGACCAAGAAATAGATGGCCATGCTGATAAGGTTAAGTGCAAATGGAATGTTTGAGTTGTACCGTCTCTGTAGTAGGTACTGAAATGATGTGTGGGAGCTGTAATTGAAGGTGGCTTCTATTAAGAGCATGTAAGACAGAGGGCACAATACCAGTTCACAGCTCCTTCTGAGCCAAGGACCACTGGGACTGAAAGAGGTGTTTAGTTTAGATGAAGTGCCGTACTGTGTTGGGATTCCTCGTGACCTGCCTGCAGCTGCAACAACACATGAATCATTTCCTCTCCTTGGCCTGTGGCTGATAGTCAGAACACTGGAGCTTTTCTCTACACCTCAACCAAGCGGTTTAAGGCTTTACACAGCAGACAACTATGAAGCAGCAGGAAGAAAAAAAAACTCTCCCTCCACCAAGTACCAGCCAGCAACACACACATCCAGTAAACCAAGAACAAAAAGACAAGCTCGAATCCCACTGGTTATTCAATCAAAAAATCTGCACTAAAATAGTGTCAGCAATGAGTGACTAATGAAACTACCAGATTGTCATAAAAATCCATCTTGCTCACTCATGTCCCTTATGAAGGGAATCTGACATTCTTGCTGGAGTCATTCATACCAAATCAAAGGTCATATCAGTGCGGTTGACTCTGGTGGCACAGTGGCTCAGCGATTAGCACTGCTGCCTCACAGAGCCAAGGACCCGGGTTCAATTCCAGCCTTGGGTGACTGTCTGCGTGGAATCTGCATGTTCTCCCGCTGTCTGCTTGGGTTTATGGTGGATGCTCTTGTTTCCTCCCACAGTCCAAAAATATGCAGGCTAGGTGGACTAGCCATGGTAAACACAAGGTTACAGGATAATATGGGGTGGGGGCTAGGTCTGGGTGGAATGTTCTTCAAAGGGTCAGTGCAGACACGATGGGCCAAATGGCCTCTTTCCACACTGTAAGGATTCTACGTTTCTATGAAAGGCACCTACAAACCTCACTTATCACTCCTGCTGTCAGCCACAGACTTGCCATCGACACAATTTGGGATAGGCAATAAATGAAGTCTTCACCAGCGACCCGTGAATGAATAAAAAAAATTAACATCATCACTGCAGAAGATAGAGAGAAACCATCTCCACCAGTGGGAGTACAACAAAACAAGTGGTAATGAAAATCTGGAGCTCTCGCTCAAGAGAAGCTACCAAGGCTGGAAAATCATAGCAGGTGAGTTAGTATCCAAGGAAAGAGACACGGTTAACATTTAGACCTGCCTGCAGACACTGCTTGACCTGCTGAGCTGTTCAAGCATTTTTTGTTCTTATTTCAGATCTCCAAAATTTACAGCACTTTGTTTCTGCATTACTGCTGAGAATTGAGGATAACTGAAAATTTCAACACCAAAATTGCTCATTTCTTTTGTACTCAAGAGTTACAGAACCAAGGGTAAATCAAGCAGAGACAAAATTAGCCACAATTTAACCGAATGGTGAAGGACAAAGGTATGGAATGGTTTTACATTCTTGATTTTCTCACTGATGAACATAAAAGACCCAACTGCATGATTCAAGTTGAGGAGTCTTGCCTTATGCTCTAGTCAGTATTTATCTTTCAACCAATTTTATAACAATGCCTTGGGATGATTAATTGTGTTAAAACTGATGAACAGGTGCAAGTTGTAGACATGTAGGATTTCGCTTCGGACAAACTGATTGACGTGTTTCACACCTTACAACATTGTGCATCAAAAATTCTATACTAGGTAGGTCATGAGGAATACTTCAGGCAAGGGTATAACAATTGGGAGCTAAGACAGGTAAACAATGTAAATATAGAACAACTATAATCTACCAACAGTCAGTTGGCATTACAAATCATGAATACCATTTTAAAGAGCAACACGCTGCCAAAGCTTTGTATTGCACTCATCAGAACAAATTTCAAAGGATCACAATTTATACAAAGTGAGTTGATTAGATGGTAAGTTGTCTCCGATTCACTAAGGTATTGCCGTGGAGAAAGCTACCAGCAACTGTAGGCTTCCCAACCCCTCAGGTAATCTAATAAAAGAATCATATTCCTTTTGTTTGGAGAGAATGGGTCACGACATACGCATGTTGGTTCTGTAGTGTAAATCATTCTGATTGAGGCAAGAAGGCCAAATTTCAAGCAATCATGATGACTCTCAATCTAATTTAATGGTAGAATAAGATAAGAGGGTCAGAAAGGGATTCCTGTCTTAACATTCCTGAAGGACTCTCTGGTATTTCAGCAAAGTAGATATCCTTAAAAACAAGCCTAGCCACTTAGCGTTGATGAGAAGCTTCAGACTCTGTACAACATCTTCATCTCTTCTCTGGTCTCCCACACTCATGCAGCCAAGCCATTCAGCCCAACTGTCCAGGTATGAGGGGTTGCATCAACTGGCATGTAAACACATGCCCAAAACTAGCTGCAGTTTGTAGCTTGTCGTAGGATTTTGAGTTGAGGCAAGAGATCAAGATTTCAACAGTACTGATGAAACCAAATTTCCATTTCTGGATTCTGGCACAAGGGGTGAATAGATTTCGGTGCTAAACAAACTTATCACCATGCCACTTCTGGCATTTTAACTCTAGAAGCAGGCTTCCCAAACTCAGCACTCAGGGGAACAAGCCACAGAGCCCTTCCAGTATGCTTTGCAATTAGATATACACCCAGCCACGTGAAGGGAATTTCTCATTTCAGTTTTAAATGGTAAAGCCCTTTTCCAGAGACTATAACTTCTGGCACTTGACTCCACAGGCAGGAGAATTGGCTTCTCAGCATTTACCTGGTCAAACTGTTAAATAATATCATACATTTCAGTGAGATCAGAGCAAAAAGACAAGTCGTCCCACTGGTTTCCAAGGGATGAAGACTCACCTGTTCAACCTCTTGCAGGACGTCACTAATGCTTTGTTGAGATGTGGGAGGCTGGTAGCACCTGCCTTCACTGCCTCCAGGTCTAAGACATAGCTCGCCTTCAAATATTCATGAGACATGGTGGTCATCCCATTAGTTGCACTGAAGAAGGAAAAAATACAACAGATTAAAAGGAGTAAAAACAAAAAGATGTTGGAGGAAGAATTCAGCATCCACACTATTTTGCCTTTATTAGATGAAGAGGAAGTACTACTGCAACAACCACCCTCAGCAACTATTTTCCTTGATCTGCTTAAAGCTGATTCTTAGTCAGACAGAAGGAAAGGTTGAAAAGAGGCAAAATTATTTGTCCTAAAGCCTCCCCCATAATGCGACTGCATCAGACTTTTTACTGGAGAGGGCTGTCAAGACCGGACTTTAAGAATATTCCAAGCTGAGATAGACATTTTTAATCAGTAAGGAAATCCAGGGTTATGGGGAAAAGGCAGGAAAATGGAGGATTATCAGATCAGCCATGATCTCACTGAATAGCAGAGCAAACCCAACGGGCTGAATAGCCTAATTCTGCTCCTATTTGTTGTGGTTTTATTGTCATTCAGATGCTTCCTTCTTAGAGATATCAAGCTCAGGGATCCAGATCGCTTTCTGTTGAGCACAAGGGCCTTTCCCTTTAACTTGGTTTGCAAGAGTTGCTGAGGCTGATAGCTGACAAGGTTGGCTATTTAACACCTCAAGTCTGTTCCACCATTTAATAAAGACCCTGGATGATCTGTAACCCAATTCCTTTGTCCCAAATCCAGTAATATCTTTGGTTAATAAAACTCAATCTGATGGGTTTTTCTTTTTTTTAAAATCATGTGTTGGTAAGTAGAGTGATTTGGTACAATTTTTTTTTTCCATTTCATTTATCTAGTATTTGATATTATAGTATGACTAAGTTAAGCTCAAGAGTAAAAATGGCAGGAGATCCCAGACCCATGTTATGCTCCTCTTGCTCAATGTGGGAGCTCAGGGACACGGCTGATGTCCCTGACTCCTACATGTGCAGGAAGTGTGTCCAGCTACAGCTCTTGTTAGACCGCATGACGGCTCTGGAGCTGCGGATGGACTCACTTTGGAGCATCCGCGATGCTGAGGAAGTCGTGGATAGCATGTTCAGCAAATTGGTCACACCGCAGATTAGGATTGCTGACCAAAAGGCAGAAAAAAAGCAAGAAGGCAGTGCAGGTGTCCCCTGTGGTCATCTCCCTCCAAAACAGGTATACCTTTTTGGATACTGTTGGAGGAGATGGTTCACCAGGGGAAGGCAGCAGTAGCCAAGTTCATGGCACCGTGGCTGGCTCTGCTGTACAGAAGGGTGGGAAAAAAAAGAGTGGAAGGGGTTTCATCATAGGGGATTCGATTGTAAGGGGAGTAGATAAGCGGTTCTGTGGTCGAAAACGAGACTCCCGAATGGTATGTTGCCTCCCAGATGCACGGTTCAGGGATATCTCCAATCGACTGCAGAACATTCTGAAGGGGAAGGCACCAATGATATAGGTAATAAATGGGATGAGGTCCTACAAGCAGAATTTAGGGAGTTAGGAGCCAAGTTAAAAAGTAGGACCTCAGAGGTAGTAATCTCAGGATTGCTACCAGTGCCACGTGCTAGTCAGAGTAGAAATGAAAGCAGAGGCAGGATAAATGAGTGGCCTGAAAGATGGTGCAGGAGGGAGGGGTTCAGGATTTTTGGGACATTGGGACCGGTTCTGGGGGAGGTGGGACTATTACAAATCGGACGGTCTACACCTGGGCAGGACTGGAACCAATGTCCTCGGGGCTGCTTTTGCTAACGCTGTTGGGGAGGGTTTAAATTAATGTGGCAAGGGGATGGGAACCAAACAAGGCGGCTAGTGGACAGTAAGGAGGTAGTAACTAAAGCCTGTAAGGAACTAGATAATGAAGTCAGTTTGACTAAGGGGAAGAAACAGAAACAGTGGATTGGGAGCAGCTGTTTGAGGATAAATCCACATTTAAAGAGAGGTTGATTAGAGTGCAGGACAGACATGTCCCTGTGAAAACGAGGGATAGAAAGGGTAAGATTAGGGAACCATGGATGACAGGTGAAATTGTGAGACGAGCAAAGAGGAAAAAGGAAGCATACATAAGGTCTAGGTGACTGAAAACAGACGAAGCTTTGGAAGAATATCAGGAAAGTAGGACCAATCTGAAACGAGGAATTAAGAGGCCTAAAAGGGGTCATGAAATATCTTTAGCACACAGGGTTAAGGAAAATCACAAAGCTTTTTATTCATACATAAGGAGCAAGAGGGCAACTAGAGAAAGGGTTGGCCCACTCAAGGACAAAGGAGGGAAGTTATGCGAGGAGTCAGAAAATCAGTAAGATTCTTAATGACTACTTTGCGTCGGTATTCACTGAGGAGAGGGACATGACGGATGTTGAGGTTAGGGATAGATGTTTGATTACTCTAGGTCAAGTCGGCATAAGGGGTGGGGAGTGTTGGGTATTCTAAAAGGCATTAGGGTGGACAAGTCCCCAGGTCCAGATGGGATCTATCCCAGGTTACTGAGGGAAGCGAGAGAGGAAATAGCTGGGGCCTTAACAGGTATCTTTGCAGCATCCTTGAGAACGGGAGAGGTCCCGGAGGACTGGAGAATTGCTAACGTTGTCCCTTTGTTTAAGAAGGGTAGCAAGGATAATCCAGGTAATTATAGACCGGTGAGCCTGATGTCAGTGGTGGGGAAGCTGCTGGAGAAGATACTGAGGGATAGGATCTATTTACATTTGGAAGAAAGTGGGCTTATTAGTAATAGGGAGCACGGTTTTGTTCAGGGAAGGTCATGTCTTACCAACTTGATAGAATTCTTTGCGGAAGTGACAAAGTTGATAGATGAGGGAAGGGCTGTGGATGTCATATACATGGACTTCAGTAAGGTGTTTGATAAGGTTCCCCATGGTAGGCTGATGGAGAAAGTGAAGTCAGTCGCATGGGGTGCAGGGTGCACTAGCTAGATGGATAGAGAACTGGCTGGGCAACAGGAGACAGAGATTTGTAGTGGAAGGGAGTTTCTCAAAATGGAGAACTGTGACCAGTGGTGTTCCACAGGGATCCGTGTTCGGACCACTGTTGTTTGTGATATACATAAATGATCTGAAGGAAGGTATAGATGGTCTGATTAGCAAGCTTGCAGATGACACGAAGATTGGTGGAGTAGCAGATAGTGAAGGGGACTGTCGGAGAATGCAGCAGAATATAGATAGATTGGAGAGTTGGGCGGGGAAATGGCAGATGGAGTTCAATCCAGGCAAATGCCAGGTGATGCATTTTGGAAGATCCAATTCAAGAGCGAACTATGTGGTAAATGGAAAAGCCCTGGGGAAAATTGATACAGAGAGATCTGGGTGTTCAGGTCCATTTTACCCTGCAGGTGGCAATGCAGGTCGATAGAGTGGTCAAGGAGACATACGGCATGCTTTCATTCATCGGACAGGGTATTGAGTACAAGAGTTGGCAGGTCATGTTACAGTTGTATAGGACTTTGGTTCAACCACATTTGGAGTACTGCGTACAGTTCTGGTCGCCACATTACCAAAAGGATGTGGATGCTTTGGAGAGGGTGCGGAGGAGGTTCACCAGGATGTTGCCTGGTATGGAGGGCGCTAGCTATGAAGAGAGGTTGAGTAATTAGGATTATTTACCTTAGAAAGACGGAGGTTGAGGGGGGGACCTGATTAAGGTCTACAAAATCATGAGAGGTATAGACAGGGTGGATAGCAAGAAGTCTTTTCCCCCCAGAGTGGGAGACTCAATTACTAGGGGTCACGATTTCAAGGTGAGAGGGGAAAAGTTTAAGAGAGATATGCGTGGAAAGTTCTTTACGCAGAGGGTGGTGGGTGCCTGGAACGCGTTGCCAGCGGAGGTGGTAGAGGCGGGCACGATAGCATCATTTAAGATGTATCTAGACAGATACATGAATGGGCAGGGAGCAGAGGGATACAGATCCTTGGAAAATAGGCGACAGGTTTAGACAGAGGATCTGGATCAGCACAGGCTTGGAGGACCGAAGGGCCTGCTCCTGTGCTGTAATTTTCTTTGTTCTTTGAGATTTAAAATTAATACTTAGGACCAAGCATCAACTGCTATTTTTAAGAAGTTCTCAGTTTCTAGCACCTTGATGCAGTCAAGTGTTTCCCAGTATCACTCTTGAAAGATCTTACTTTTTTAAAACCATGTTCATTAGTCGGAGTCTGCACTCTTCGTGAAAATACTTCCTTTATACCTTACTCTAAGTAGTTCCCACATCATCTTGAAAATTTTAATCAAAACACACCTTATCCTTGTATATCACAGGAAATGCAACTTTAGTTTATATACTTTCTTATTTTATCACTATGCAGATGTATCACATCAAGTGAGTAGACACAGGTTTGGACCTGGCTATGATACGCCTCACAACTAAACACACTATATGCAAGTTAACACAGGGTTTCAGGAGGGGAGAAGCAAAGGGTGGCCTCAAAGATCACAGTACAAATCAGTGGTTAATTCCATTAGCTGCCTTATCACCTCTGGACTGGCAAAAGCTATTAGTCATTTCTGATTGCCACTGTTTGAGATTCTAGTTCAAGATAAAAAGTAAGATTAACTAAGCTTTTGGTTCCAGATGGGGATAATTCCATTCCTTTCATTTTCCTCTGCATTCCCACCCACACTTCTGACTTTGAACATTGGTAAGCATTTCAATAGAACACTAGATATTGCTCAGAAGTAAAGAGTAATACAAATTTCTCGTGCTTTAATTACAGTGCTTTGAGAAACCACAAGCATCTGACTGGCGCTTCAGAAATGGCTAGATTTACGCAGAAATAGGAACTCATACATTAATTCCAAGCCCGGACCCAATTAAGAGGGTCAGACATTAGAATTGTAGGAGCAATACTCAAATCATTTATACCATGACTTGAGCCACATAATGGGCAACAGTGGCAAACGCTAACCCAGTCTGTATACTTTTTTTAGAGATAGTAGGAACTGCAGATGCTGGAAAATCTGAGACAACATGGTGCAGAGCTGGATGAACACAGCAGGCCAAGCAGCATCATAGGAGCAGAGAGGCTGACGTTTCGGGCCTAGACCCTT